TTGATCGATAATTCAGACTCCCGTCTATATTAGCACCCGGAATATTATTTCTCGGGGGGGGGGGGACGATGATGGGCTTCGTCGCCGCGTGCACCGGGAGTCGCTGAGGACGCGCGATCCGCGACACTAACCAAATTAAGGGGATAATTTATGTTAGGCAACCTTTTTGCTCGTCGTTGGTGGGGGGGGGGGGGACGATGATGGGCTTCGTCGCCGCGTGCACCGGGAGTCGCTGAGGACGCGCGATCCGCGACACTAACCAAATTAAGGGGATAATTTATGTTAGGCAACCTTTTTGCTCGTCGTTGGTTTTTCAAGCGGTCGGCGCGTGAGGTGTGCGTAATTAAATCTTATCTCGATTATGAGCCGGTGAGGACGAGGTTATTTTTATCGTGCATGCTCTCCGATGCGCATAAATTTCCTTCTAATGGATATAAATTGGCTGCTATTTCGCGAAGGAAGTTTCCTTATTATTTTTAAGCTTCGTGCTGAATTTATACAATATTAATGGGGAGATTCGCATATGGAAGCGTAATGTATGGATACTTTTTTATTCAGAAATTAATTTCCAACTTATTTCTCCCGTCTCCTTTGTTGTTGTTGTTGTTGTTGTCGTTATTGCTTTATTTCATTTTCATAATTGAATTAAATAGGATAAGGAGAAGCGCCGTGCTCGTAGATTGTGGAAATTTATGACAATTATTTCAATTCTCCAATTATCGACAAAATTGCTAGCGCGTCATTTCGAGCTCGCGAAGCTTCTTCGATACATTTACCCCTATTTTTAAAGATATTTTACGTTTTATCTAGCACTAGTCAGGCACAAACTACTACTTTCGAATATTGGAGATTGGTTATTTGGTAAAGTATTTTGTTCTCATACAAATATATACATCTTGCTAATACAACTAGATAGTCAAAATACATACAATGGGGAGGGGATTGGCGGGGGGGGGGGGGGGGGGGGGGGGGGGGGGGGGGGCGAGGACGAAAAAGACAATAAAAGAAGAAAAAAATAATCACAATGTGCGTAAATCTGGTAATATTTAACGAACGCTAGTTAGGTGGATGATCTTGGGAGCCACCTACACGAAACTGCAAAGTCTCAGAGGACGAAGAACCGGACCAAGATAGAGAAGGCAAAAGGGAGGGAGAAAAGGTCAGACAGTTAAAAAAAGAAGGAGAGAAATAAATATGGAGAAAGATGAGAGATGGGTCGGTCAAGAATTATATAGGTGGGTCTGGAAATATGGTTTGTATGGGATTCTGCGGGACTGAAAACAGCTGACTGTTACAACTACCGGAATTGGGTTTCCGGAGGGGTAATCGTGAGTGTGTATACATATCTATATGGGTATTTCGTCATATACATATATACGTATCATTCTTTAGTTTCCATTATAGCATGGGAGAGACAGATTACCCTGTATTTCATAAATATATTATGTGTGTACTTATCCTTAATACTGATAGAAATAAATAATATATTTGTAAGAGAGAGTGAGAGAGAGTGAGAGAGAGAGAGAGAGAGAGAGCAGAACAGAGCAAAGGCACTTGAACCCTAATCGGGGAATGTCGACGCCGAACCCTCTTCTCTCCATTATATTCGCGCGCGCCTCGTGTGTTATAACCGCCGATTTTACACGCACTTGACTCTATTCTTGTGCGTACCTTATACGTCAAGTTCTTTTTTATCCTTTTCTCTTGGCTATTATGAATTTATTATCGTGAAAATTTGATGGATAATGTTCGTATTAAATTTCACAACCTCTTCCTACGCATTTTGCAAATTCAGCCATCACGTTTTTTCCATTTATAATAATTAGTTTAAATATTTTTAGGATGGATAATATAGCTTTGTCAACAGACCATCAAATTAAACATCACGACGTCTTGAAGATATTGATTGCAAGATATTGAATAAGGAGGAGCACAAGCAGCCGATAACTAACTCAATAAGGCAATAACTCATCATAAAATTGTGACGATTGTAAGTAATTTGACGTAACGAAAAATGTGCACATTTATGAATATCTCTTGAGCATAAAGTCGAACGCTCAAGAGTGATTAACGATGACGTATGCGAATAATTGTAACGAGAACACGTGGTATTTTGTATTATATTATTTTTAAACGGAGCTCATTGTTGAAATGAAAAATCATTAGCAATCTTAATGACTGTTACGATAGCAATTTGTTTATCTCGTTGTTAGCAAATGACATTTCGAAAACCGAAGCCGCGACGACTCTTTTAATTCAATCGGCGTTCATTGTTTTAATTTTTCAATCTCGACAATTTATTGATTGTAAAATGTGTGCGATAACATCATATTTAAAAAAAAAAATTTGCTATTATGATGTCATACATTAATAACATTTAAACTCGTATATTGCTCTTAATTATCTTATTATTTTAAAAAGTTTAAAATAGCATATACGATGGATAATTGTTGTGAAATGCAACGAAAATTACAACACGTAAAATTTCGCTAAATTCCCCTTCACTTGACTAAGAGATTAATGATTATTATTAGCCCTGAAGACTTATTAAAACTTTGTTATTTTATTCCCCCCCGGGGGGGGGGGGGGTACACGCGCACACGTATATACGTAAATCTTGGGCTAGTGAAATCGACAAATAATCAAACTTGGAATTTCCTAAGCACAGTCAATGATAATTTGAAAATTTATTTAAGCACGAAAGTTTTAGTTAACTTTAATGCCACTGAAATGCTTAGCCACAATCGTTACGGTCATTTATCATCGACGTCATTTGTAACGTGTAGGGTAACCTATACCACTCACCCAATTATAACTATTAATTTTGCCACTCAATTATAACTTCGATATCGATAAATAATTAGTCGCAACAATTCCATAATATTCAAACATTGCTAATTACGCAAAGATTAATGATTAGGTGAGGCTCGAGCGACTGCTTACTCGCTACTCTGCGGTACCTCACGCGAGTGCTCACTTCAGACAATTATAGGTAATTGTTAATCTGGAATGACAATAGCCTGTACAATGAAGATAGGATTTTCACGTAGATTATACGCAAAATTCCTACGGAACATGTCACAAGCAATTCTTATATATATATATATATATATATATATATATATATATATATATATATATATATATATATATCATGTAATTTGTTATAAATTTATGAGCAATATGCTCGTTTACGAGCATCTACATCTACTTGTTGTTAATAAGCGTCGACGTTGCGCGATTGCAAGTATTTACTTTTTATTTGAAAATGACGACTCGCCTTACAGGCACTTCTCCTATAAGCTCAAAGTTTCCTTAAATTTTCCTCCATCTAGCCTACGCAGAAGCTCCAATATTTCCTCAGCATTAGAAATTCCCTCTCCGTTACGAGAAGCCCTTTTTGTTCATTGAGCACTAATGTCGGCACCTACGCCACCGATCTAGCAAAAGTTTCATTTTTCAACATATACCGTCGGATAGATTTGCAATTATGTTTCATTGATATTGCGGGGCTAGCGATTACATATGGAAAATAGTTTGCGTACCCAATTGTTTGCGAAGAAAGTCGTTTAACCACTCGGCGTCCGAGCACAATAATCGATTTAAACCAATGCAAAGCGTAACGGAATTCATATGACCATTTGATATAAACTTTTGAATATGAAAAAACGTACTGCCACGATCGACAACTTTACGAGCCCCTTCAACTCGCGCCTTTTTTTACCATTGCCCGCTACCCACCAAACCCCCAAACTCTCAACCCTCCCCTCCCCCTCCCCCCAATCCCTCAACTCACCTAGCCCCTACCATCCCCCGTCAACCCCCGTCAACCCCCGTCAACCCCCAAAATACGTGTGGCACAATTCTTCGGCAAACTGTCGTTGTCTTGGCAGAAGCTACGCGCGAACGGGGCGACGCAATGCATTCGTGCCAATCAAGATATTAATTGGACGTCAAACTCTCGGCTCTCGTTTTTCAAGGTAAGTCGCCAAGGCACTGAATCGCGCACTCGCAGACTACGCGCGACATGTCCCTTATCACTCGCAGCCAAGCTATTGGACACCTCGATATCATCGCATCGAACCGCCGGAACAAACTACCCACTCCTCGCACAATCCCGACAACGCGATGCGCCGATAAATTCGCCCGGACGAGCATGGACCGGAGAATGTGTGAAGAAAGGGACGGTCTCTCGCCAGGACTCGTGCCGATTGTCGGACGAGAGCAGTCGACGTCCGAAAAGTCCTTTACCACGAGCAAATCGAGCGCCCGACAATGTATAAATAAATGAATGCGCAGCCCCAATCTCTCGCTCCTTCATTGGGAGCCGAGTGAGCTTTCTCTCACCACTTTATCGCTTGCGCCTCTCACACGCTTCTTCTCGCAAAGCTTAAACATTCACGCTTTCGTTCGCGTCCCGTCTCAATTAACGATCAAAGGCGCAATTAATGCTTAACGGCTATCTTGCAATGCTCTTACAACGGAGCGGTGGACTTGAGCGACGGTCGATGAGGAGACGGTGGCGATGGTGGAGACTGCGGGCGACCTCCGGAGCCACCCGGAGGATGTGAAGGAGAAAGCCCGAATTTCAATGACTCGCGTGAGAAAGAAGGGCGTAAGAAGAAGTATTCGGGGGATAGATGGCCGTGGAGTCGATATGATCGACGTCCAGTCGACATCGAGTGGGGAACAGCGACAAGTTGCTGGAGTCGCTTGGAAGGCTTGTGGTTCGTGAGTGAGAGAGACAGACCGAGGAGTAACGAACTCGAAAAGGGCAAAATTTCGCAACGACTGACATGCACGCGGCTGTGCCCCTTTCGAGATTAATGACCGGGTCGCGTAGACCACTCCACGGCCCGGTCCCGCTTATTATTATTTCATGGCAGTTGGCCCCGGAGAACTCGACCCTCGCGAATGGGCCCACGTGCGCCACGTACTCCCGCGACCGCCCCGTGAAGCAGTAGCAGCCGACGGTACGCGCGGCTCACCTAGTCGCTCACCTGCTATGGCCATCCAGGGGTAGAACGTATGGTTGGTGGGCTGCTGGTGCAATTGGGTCGCCACCGGCTGGCTCGCCGCCGACGTATTGAGGCTGCAGGTGTTCCAGGAGGAGGTGAGCGAGCGGCTGGAGCCGTTGTTGCCGGGGCTCGAGGCCGCCTCGCCCCCGCTCACCATCCCCGAGTAGCTGCCGACTCGTGAGCCCTCCGGGGTGCAGGCTGAGGGGCGCACTACCGCGGAACCGGCGGCACTCTGTCCGCTGGCTACCGCGGAGGCCGACTGCCAGACGTCCTTGACTGCTGCCGCGGCCATTACGGCCGCGTATCCGTTTTGGTGGGCGGCCGCGGCCGCGGCCTGCTCTTGCTGCTTGCAGTCCTTGCCGGCGACGGCGGCGGCCGTGTACGAGGAGGTCGTGTGACCAGTTGCCTCGGGCGTCGAGGAGTAGAGCTTGCAGGCGGTGGCGACGCTCGCATCGTACGGCGAGTCCTGGGGCGGCCGCGTATTCGTCCCGCCGCCCGGATGGATGCCGAGACTCGAGGAGCCATGATGATGATGCTGGGAGGAGGCGTACGGCGACATGCCGAGGCCGAGGGGAAAACTGCGATAGGCTGCTGCTGTAGCCGGGTCATGATGCTGAGCCGCGGCGCTCGTCTGATGATGGTGGCTCCCGTAGAAGCCGCCCGCGCTCTGCTCGAAGTACGAGTTCATGATGACTCGGCTTTAAGTGGGCTGGACGGTACGGGACGGGGCTGAGCGGCCTCGGTTTGCACGAATGGCTCTGCTCGTCCACGAGGACTCTCACCGGCGCTCGTCCCTACGGCGGGAAGCGCGCGATACTCGAATCTCGGTCCTCACTGTGGGCGATGTTCCTCCCTGATTGCACTTGGGCATGAAAGCGCTCAGAAGACCGTAAAAGTCATCGGTCCCTCTTTCTCACACACGCGCGCACACCACTGGGCCCAACGCCCGCCTTAGCTGCACATCTATATACATACGTGAGCGCACGTGCGCATCTACTTCTGCATATGCATATAATTGCGGACAGGTATATCTATATATACATATATATACACACACATATATACATATACATACATATATAAGTGGCATATGGTCAGACGCCCTCGCCCCAAACTCGTTAAAAATCCGCGCGCATTTAATCAGAACCGCCTCCTATCTCGCGCCCAGGATTACCGTCCGTCTTGATCCGGGCATAAGGGTGGCTTACGGGTCCATGTCCTCGTAAGCAAATGGAGCGACGCGCCGTTGTCCGATTCGAGGTGCGATCAGGAGGAGCTTGGGTTCATGTTTCCGAAAATAAAAAGAGCATAAAACAAACAGACGATTACACCTCGTGGCTATCTCTCTCTCTCTCTCTCTCTCTCTCTCTCTCTCTCTATATATATATATATATATATATATATATATATATATATATATATATCGCTTCCTCCTCTGCCTTCGTTCTCGTTGCTCTCCTCGTTGACTTCAGTTTCTTCTTCTTTTTATTCTCCTACTCTCTTTCTTTCTCTCTTTCCTTCTTTCTCTTCCTGCGTGTTGTGATTTGGCTGTTCGGTCCCACTGGCTGTCAGTGCACGAGGTTGAAGAAGAAGAAGAAGAAGAAGAAGAGGAGGAGGAGTAGGAGGAGGAGGAGGAGGAGGAGGAGGAGGAAGAGGAGGAGAAGGAGGAGATCGAGAAGTAAGTGGCCGAGGTGGCGAATGTGATGGTGGCGGATGTAGTGGAGAAAGACGAAGAGGAGGAGGAGGAGGAGGAGGAGGAGGAGGAAGAGGAGCAGGCTATGGGAAAAACACTTGGCTCGGCCCGACTCTGAGAAAGCGATGATCGTTAAACGGTTACGACGCAATAAACTGGGTAATAAGCCGAGCTATAAAAGTGGAGAGTGGTGGCCCGGTAGTCTTAGCAAGTGTGTGAGTGCCGGCACGCGGCAGCCGGGGCGCGTGCTACAATCCTTGATTGCCTCTCTCCACCTATTATCTCTTACTTCTCTCTCTCTCTCTCTCTCTTTCTCTCTGTTTATCTCTCTTTCCC